CTCAAAAGAGGGCAATGTTTGGTCAGATGACCACCGGACCTGAAAAGTTAACTCTGATTTCTCTTCACAGATGCTGCCAGACTTGCTGAGCTTTTCCAGGAATTTCTGTTTTTGTTTCCGTCATAGTAATATCAGTCCAGGAGCTTGGACATGGTCAGTCAGCTGCTTAATGTAGTCAGTCATGATGCTCTCCACATAAGGGGTGAGGAACCAAATGTCAGGCAACCTACCATCTAAATAAAAACCAAAAGAAATGCGGATGCTGTAAATCAGGAACAAAAACAAAGTTGCTGGAAAAGCTCAGCAGGTCTGGCAGCATCTGTGGAGGAGAAAACAGAGTTAATGTTTCGGGTCCGGTGACCCTTCTTCAGAACTGATGGTGGCTGGGAAAACGTCAGTTTATATGCAGAAAATAGGGAGGTGGGTGGGGTAGGGAGTAAATGATAAGATAGAGCCCAAAGAGAGAGAAAGACAGTTGGAGAGACAAAGGAGTTGCTAAGGGTCAGGCTGGGAGGGTGAATAGTTGTTAATGGGGACTCTTAGTGACTAACAACAGAGGGTGTGTAGTGGCAGGCTATGTGGTAACAAGGCCTGGTGTGTGGGGTGAGGGGCTGGGACATGGGAGAGTTTAGGCCCTAAAATTATTGAACTCAATATTGAGTCCGGAGGGCTGTAGGGTCCCCAAGTGGAAAATGAGGTGTTGTTCCTCCAGCTTGCGTTGGGCTTCACTGGAACACTGTAGCAAGCCGGAGACAGAGATGTTGGCCAGAGAGCAGGGTGGTGCATTGAAGTGGCGGGCAACAGGTAGTTCAGGGTCTTTTTTGCAAGCAGAACGTAGATGTTCTGCGAAGCGGTCACCAAGTCTACGCTTCGTTTCCGCAATGTAGAAGAGACCACATTGTGAGCAGCGAATGCAGTAGACTAGATTCTTGGAAGTGCAGGTGAAGTGTTGCTTCACCTGGAAGGTATGTTTGGGCCCTTGGATAGTGGGGAGGGAGGAGGTTAATGGGCAGGTGTTGCACCTTCGCCGGTTACAGGGGAAGGTGCCGTAGGGCTGTGGGGAGGTGTTGGGGGTGAAGGAAGTGTGGACCAGGGTATCCCGGAGGGAACGGTTCCTGCAGAAGGCGGACAAGGGAGGGGAGGGGAATATGTGTCTGGTGGTGGCATCTTGCTGGAGGTGGCAGAAATGGCGTCTGATGATCTTTTGGATGTGGATGCTGGTGGGATGGTAGGTGAGGATAAGGGGAACCCTATTGCTGTTGAGGGAGGGAAGAGAAGGGGTGAGGGCTGAAGTGCGGGAGATGGGTCGGACCCGACTGAGGGCCTGTCAACAACGGAGCTGGGGAATCCTCGGTTGAGGAAAAATGTGGACATTTCCAAGGCTCCCTTGTTGAAGTTCGCTCTTATGAACATATGCGACGGAGACGGAGGAACTGAGAAAATGGGATGGAGTCTTTACAGGAAGTGGGGTGTGAGATATATAGTCCAGGTAGCTGTGGGAGTCGGTGGGTTTGTAATGGATATTAGTGGCTAGTCTATCCCCAGAAATGGAAACAGAAATGTCGAGGAAGGGAAGGGAGGAGTCAGAGATAGACCAGGTGAAAGTGAGGGCAGGGTGGAAATTGGAGGCGAAATTGATGAAGTTTCCCAATTCTAGACGAGAGAAGGAAGCAGCACCAATGATATCATCGATGTATTGGAGAAAGAGTTGTGGGTGGGGGCCGGAATAGGACTGGAACAAGGAATGTTCCACGTACCCCACAAAGAGACAGACATAACTAGGGCCCATGCGGGTACCCATGGCAACCCCTCTTACCTGAAGAAAATGAGAGGAGTTGAAAGAGAAGTTGTTGAGGGTGAGGACAAGCTCAGCCAAGCGGAGGAGGATGGTGGTGGGTGGGGATGGTTCAGGTCTTTGCTCCAGGAAGAAGCGGAGAGCCCTCAGACCCTCCTGGTGGGGAATGGATGTATAAAGGGATTGCACATCCATGGTAAAGAGGAGGTGGCTGGAGCCGGTAAACTGGAAGCTTTGAAACCGGCGTAAGGCGTCAGATGAATCATGGATGTATGTGGGTAGGGATTGGACTGGGGGGAGAAGACTGAGTCAAGGTAGGAAGAGATGAGTTCTGTGGGGCATGTGCAGGCTGAAACAATGGGTCTACCTGGACAGTCCTGTTTGTGGATTTTTGGCAGGAGGTAGAAACGAGCTGTGCGAGGTTTGGGGGACTATTAGCTTGGAAGCGGATGGGGGGAGATCACCGGATGAAATGAGATCCATAACAATAGTGGATACAATGGCCTGATGTGCCATAGTGGGGTCATGGTCCAGGGAAGGTAGGAGGAGGTATCTGAGAGCTGGCGCTCAGCCTCTACAAGGTAGAGGTCAGTACGCCCGACAACAACAGCACCACCCTTATTGGCAGGCTTGATGACAAAGTTAGGGTTAGATCTGAGTGCACGGAGTGAAGTCAGTTCGGAGGGAGATAGGTTGGATTTATTGAGAGGGGCAGTGAAATTGGCGACTGATGTCACATCGACAGTTCTCAATGAAAAGATCGAGTGCAGGTAAAAGCCGGAGGGAGGGGTCCAGGTGGAGGGAGAGTGTCGGAGTTGGGCAAAGGGGTCTGTGGGACGGGGAGAGGACTCTTGTCCAAAGAAATGAGCATGGAAGCGAAGACGGCAGAAGAACAGTTTGGCGTCATGTCGTGCCCGAAATTTGTTAAGGTGGGGACGCAGAGGGATAAAGCTGAGGCCTTTGCTGAACACTCTGTAGTCAGCATCGGAACGCTACCTACCATCTACCTTGTTTTGTTCTGCCCTTCTGTAAGCTGTATTCCTGCTGGAATGACTCAAAGGCAGGTACTATGGGAGATCAAAGTGGTTTCCACACCTGTTACATTTGGTACAGTGGGGAGGTGTCCCAAGCAAGTGGGTATGCAGTGCAGAGGGCACAAATTTCTAGTGGTGTTGGGAGGTTAGGGTGGCTTACAGCAAATGAGGAAGATGTTGCAGGTAATAAGTGTGATGCAGTATAGCCTAGGTAGGAGGTGGGTACAGTAACAGAGAGTGAATGTGAGGTATCAGAGAGAAAATGATGACACTTATGCTGGTGGAGTGGAGAAAGTCATTGACCTTCTTCCTACACCAAGGTTCCAAATGGCCAACGTTGCACTGGCTTGAGTGGCAACCTCAGACCAGGCACGTATAGTCTGGTGTCATGGCTCCCTTTGCTGGTCCTGCGAGAAGAAGACACCCTACCTGTGTACCACCCTGTCCAGCAGCACGTCCTGCTGCATAGAAAAGTAGTTGAAGCTAATGTGATCAATGATTGTAAAAGGGAGTTAGATGAGAGAAATGGTCTCTTGGGCTACTGGGATTGAGCGTAGAAATTGGACTAAATGGATTATTCCACAGGGGCTAACATGAACTTGATAGGCAGAATAGCTTCCTCCTGCACTGTAGTCACTTACTGACTCCATTTTGTGATCACTGTTTCCAAATCCTCCCCTACTGAAGTATGTCCCACGTCATTTTCCAGAATTAAACCAGTACCATTCCCTTTTCTATTAGATTGAAAGCACGCTGATTATGCTGTATGCATTAAAAGAATGCTCTCTGTCCTTTACACTGTTATTTTCCTAGTCTATATTGGTAATTATACGGAATTTTAATTATCCTAAGATTCATACAGTTTTCTGAAATTTGCTTCTTTTTAATCCATATCTTTAGCTTCCTCAATATTTAGTAGCATACTGAATACATTTTAAAATTATTGCCCCACGAATACCCTCATTGCCCTTCACCCACATTTATTACTCTGAAGGTCCCCCTTTTAACCTCCATATGATCTTATTACCCTGACTGTGTCTGTACTGTGTTCTGTATGAGCTTATGTTAGGGTGTCCCTATGCTCACTAATGGAAACATATTGCTGTCAGTGGCATAACTCTTGTTCTTAGTGAGAGTATATTATTCTCAAAGAAAATCCCTCCTATGGACAATTGTTGCACTTCGCTTCAGTAAGAAGAGATGGCACCTATTACTCTCACTAGGGAGATGATTCTCAGTTGGGGCCATTATCCTGAGGGCGTCCCATTGCAGTAATATGCATTACCCTGAGGGTGCCCTATTGCCTTTATTGAGTGTTATTAACCTATTGCACCCCCCCCCCACCACCACTTGGGGGTTATGGCCCTGAATACTCCTGTTTCCCTAGAGATGTCTTTATTGCCCCAGTGAAGGGATTAACAGACTTCTACTGCCACTTGCCCCAATGGGAGTATATTGCTTTCAATTGATTATTACCCTAAAATCCCTCCCATTTCAGTCTGTGAGGTAATTGCCCTCAGTGTGTCATTTTCTGATAGGGGAGGGTTACTGCTCTGTGGGAACCCATATTGCTGTCAACAGAGTTTATCACAATCTCACTACTGTATCTGCTCAAGGGGGTTTTGTCCTGAGGTTCCTACACCACCCTTCGTGGAAGATTTTTACTCTGAAAGCCTTTATTGCCCCAGTTGCACTGAATGTGTGTTATTTCCCTGAAGGTGATCCATTTGCTGTCAAATGTGAGGTAATTGCCCTCGGAATGTTCTTATTGCCCTCAGTATGGGGCTACTTCCCTGAAGCTGTCCCTGTTGCCTTTATTGCGAATTACCGTCGTGGAAATGTTCTTATTGCCCTCATTGTGGGGTTATTTCTGTGAGGCTGTCCCTGTTGCCCTCAGTGGGAGTTATTGCCCCCTACTCCCCCTAGCGGCAGTGACTCAAAGCCTCCTGTTTATTTGTTGTGATAACGTCGCTCTGACGCCCACCTGCTCCGCACTGGACTCGGCGCCTGGCCCAATGTACGTGACCCTGCAAAGTTTTCAGCAGAGTTTTGATTGAAACGGGCTGCGGGTCTGCTGGCAGCGCTCCCCCTGCTGTCGCTTCATAAATACATATTACTGTTATTGTTTTTAATAGGTGTAGTTTGAGTTTGTGCAGGGGAGGAGGAGGGGGTTGGTGGGAGAGGGCGAGGAGCGGCATGTCATGGAGGAGCCTGACCCTGCCATCTCCCCTGCGGTGCATCGGGACCTGCAAACAGATCTGAAAGTCTCGCCGGCTACTTGCTCTGGCCACTCTTTGCAACTTTCCCTGGGTACCAGCAGCGCCAGTAGCAACACCAGCAGCGGCTGCAAAATCCATAGGAGCTGTAGCACCATCGCTTGCAACAACATTAGGGGCAACATCAGCAACGGTAACAGCAGCAAGGGCAACAATAGCAGCTGTAACAGTAACAAAAACTGCAGCCCCACCACTTGCAACACCAGCTGCTGCAACGGCAGCCTTAACGGCGACACCGGCAAAAACTGCAACGCCAGCGGCCACGGTAACAGCAGCAACAACTGCAACACCAGCGGCCACGGCAACAGCAGCGCCTGCAAGGCGAGCTGTAATTCCGAGTCTGGCGACGAGAAGAAAGTTTGCGAGCTGTCCCGCCAGCCCGACGCCTCGAACCCTGAGAAGGAGGTGCTGGTCAGTGCCGTCAGCCGCCAGAGCAATGAGCTGAGGTTGAACCGCCGCCGCACCAAGTCGCTGCCCTGCCTGCACGACCCCTCCGACTTCTTCAGCGAATTCAATGGGGGACTGCGCAAGAAGGTGAAGTTCGCCGATTCGTTGGGGCTCAGCCTGGCCAGCGTCAAGCACTTCCGAGCCAGCGACGAGCCTTACATCCCATCCAAGGTCTTCCTGCGACTCCAGAGCTTTCCGGCCATCGTGGACGACCTGAACGAGAAGTTCAAGGCGTTGGGCATTCACTGCTTGAGACCAGCCTTCTCTATGCCTTGCGAGGCCAGCGACTTCATGCAGAGAGCTGAGAGGAACCGTGTCTGCCTGGAGAATGTAACTGTCAGCCACTTTGACGTGCACGGGTTGATCAGGGTTTTGAATGTCTCTTATGTCAAGGAGGTGACTGTCCGCTATACTTTCAACAATTGGCTTTCCTGCATGGACACACCTGCCAAATATGTGGAAGGGTCGAGCCACTCGGGTACTGACCAGTTCTCTTTCGACCTGTCCATCCCACCTTTCTTGGACCAGGGCTCTTTTGTCCACTTCGCTATCTGCTACAGGGCAGACAACGAGGAGTACTGGGACAATAACTTCGACAAGAATTATTCTCTGCAGTGCGAATCCACGTCAGATGAACACGCCAACAGTTAGGATCTTCTTGAAACGCACACATTTGCATATGTCCTCTATTAAAGAGGTGCCATCTCTCCTTTAGTTTCATGACAAGCCGCGGGTTTAAAAAAAAAGCACGAGGCGTCAAACTTGCCCAACGAAGTGTATTATTATATGTTCCAGTCTTAAGATAGAGTTTGAGGTATGCTATTGACAGTACAATTATTGAAGAAAATTAAAGAGGCAATGGCATCACAAATATCTGACTTACGATCAAAAGATTCTACTGTGCACCAAACAAGTGGCCGAACTGACAATGTAAATGTCAGTATGCAGACCTGTTAATAAGATAACTTTGGACTTTTTAAAGCCCTTTTGTCCATCCTCCAACTTTTTGATGTTACATTTGCTTTTTAAGGAGGAATTTAAGCGAGACTACAACATCCCTCACCCAGGAGCTGGGATGCAGAATCTGCTGTGGGTCCTATCCAAAGCCACTCTCATCAGCTGCTAGTAAGTTGTAGAGAGCAGGCTGGTTTCATATGAGACCTGAATTACCACTAAACCCTCCCAACCCACAGAAGTGCTGTGATTGCAGGTAGAAAATCACATCCTACTGCTTTGCAACCGTTATGTATAGAGTATTATTGCAGTGCCTTACAGTATGCCCAATACCAAAAAGACAACTTAAAGAAGTTGTGATCTCAAATTAAAGATTTTTTATATATGGACAGATTTGATTAACTGTCCAAAAATGAATTGTGCACTTGACCTTTGCTCCGAAATATGACTGCTCAAGAGTTTTTATTGATCTGAGAATCATAGGCTATACAGAAAATTATAACATAATGCACTTAGTAATTGATGAGGACTAAATTAGTCATCCTGTAACTAGACGTCAGTTCACACAGTGAAAACCACAGCTTTTTGCCAGGTTTGTTCAGGAGGAGTTGGTTTACATCTACATATCCCTGACTAAAATGCTTTAAATCATTGGTGACTGTAAATGTCTAGAAAACTGATTGTACCACTGGAACTATGTATTGTTTATGGAATGTACTTGCAGTCAGAATAAAATAGAAAACTTTATTTACTAAGGTATGCAAATAGAACAGAGAACGTTCTCTAAACATGACATCAAAATGAATTTTGGAACGGATTAAAAGTTTTTTATACAAAGAAGTTTCCTCCTGTTTCTCAGACAAAAATAGGAATTTGACCGACATTTAAAAATTCCTGTGTTCCTTGAGCCAATCTCATATTGGATTGGGGATAGCCAGATGGAATTACAACAATGAACTTGTATTTTTTATTGTTCCTCTTCTAAATCCTCTCATGGCATCTCTGAGCTCAACTTGTTCATGAGATACATCTGTTCCTCCAACTGTATTTCCACTAAACTGCTGACTCATTCAATGTTCCTTCCTTGCTCCCTTGTTAATGGATGCTGGGGATTATACTTTTTCTCAGATAGTATTGCTCTCTCTTCCAAATCTACTGGCATCATGTCTCTCCTCAAAAACATCTTGGCCTCTATGACCTTGCAAACTGCCACCTGAAATCCAAACTCCCTTTTTTCACTGAAGCCCTTGACATGTTGTAAAGCAGAATACTGCAGACGCTGAATAACTGAAATACAAACAGAAAATGCTTTAAATACTCGATAGGTCAGTCAGGATCCGTGGAGAGCGAGATAGAGTTAATGTGTTATGAGATGAAAAGTTATTGACCTGAAACGTTAACTCTGTTTTTCTCTCTGCAGATATGGTGAGAGCTGCTGAGCATTTCTGACATATTCTGGTTTTATTCCTTAAAATGTTGTTGACTCTCATTTTCCAGTAATCTTATGCTTGAATTGTTCTGATCAGATTTTCCCTAAAGCTAATCCATTGTATGTATTTGTCTCTCCATACCGGTCTACCTAGCACGCATTGTAATAGTGCCTAATACTGTGTTGTTCATAGAGAAATCATTTTTCTGTAGGCTTTCGCTGTTTGGACTGAAAACCTGTGACCATGGTTTGGCCATCTTATTGACAGCATTACTTTGTATGTTTTTGTGTTGAAAAGCTTACTTTAACAGGAGAACCTGTTGCCGTATCCCTCCCAACAACTGTGCATGAACATACCTTGGCACATTTGTGACTGTTATATTAACAGTCAGACAACACCTCCAGAACACTGGAGCTAACGTCAAGATAAGAATGAATCTCACGGAAACTTACAGATACCACCTGGGGGTCCAGAGCCAACACAATACGCAGTGTTTCATTTGTTCTGGTCTACCCAACAACATTATAGAGTTGCTCAATCTGGCTCAGGAGCTGCCACACAAACATGGTAGATATCCACCTCTGGGAAGTCATGACGACTACTTCAGGGTCATTGAAACTGATATAGTTAAATTGGCCTTCTGTACTAACACATATTAAAAATTTCAGATGTCGGCAGGGTATATAAACATCCTCCTCAAAGAAGACTTGCATTGACACAGGGTCTCAAAATAAAACAGGCGTTTGTCTGAAATTCTATAGTGGTGTCTAGAACACACTCCACACTATACAAACTGACAACGGCTCCACTTCTTAATGGTGCATCTCTTAGTTGACTGCAACCATCATCAGTGGCAATTTGGAATTGATTTAAGTGCAGAAATCCCAAGTCTCAACCTTTCACAGAAAATCTGGACAACCTTGAACTACTTGAGATCAGACCAGGGTAGATGTGGCCCCTCAATCCAAACATAAAACATTAGGAAGAGCTAAATTTGATCGTGGCCATCAAAGTTAGATCATAACCAACATACCGAACTTCTGCCCCGAGAGACTTTGTCCTGGTGATATCACAATCCTTTGCTTTGTGTCAGGGTTGAATTTGTGGAGTGTTAGTCAATATCGAACTGTAATTACTTACCCAGCCACAAAAATAGAGTCCTTTAAGCCGTTTTAAAGAAACTGCTGTGCCCATCTGCATGCACATTTTACCCCACTTTCTTTATTGATATCACGTGCCTTGCAAAGATATTTTTCCTAGACCTTTTGAGTCCTGTGTCTTGCATAAACTAATGGTCACACATCATGATTCTCACCAACTTGTTCTAGAAATAACAAAAGCACATAATTGGCTGTGTGATAAAAGTGCATATTATATTATCTTTTGGTAATTGGGACTCTAAAGCAGATGTGTGCATTCAGTTCATAGAATCATAGAGTCCTGACAGTGTGGAAGCAGGCCATTTGGCCCATTGAGTCCACACCGCCCTTCCGAACAGCATCCCACCCAGACCCCTACTCTATCCCTGTAACCCTGCATTTTTCCCATGGCTAATCCACCTAGCCTACACATCCCTGGACGCTCTGGGCAATTTAGCATGGTCAATCCACCTAATTTACACATCTTTGGAGTGAGGGAGGAAACCAGAGCACCCGGAGGAAACCCACACAGACACGGTGAGAATGTGCAAACTCCACACAGTCGCCTGAGGCTTGAAGCTAACTCGGATCCCTGGTGCTGTGAGGCACCAGTTCTAATCACTGACCCACAGTGCTGTCCTTATAGAGTCATACAGCATGGAAGCAGACACTTCAGTCCAACTTGTCCATGCCAACCAGATAGTCTAAATTATCTAGTCCCATTTGCCAGCATTAGGCCCATACCTCTCTAAACTCTTCCTACTCATGTATCCATCCAGATATCTTTTAAATGTTATAATTGAACCAGCACTTCCTCTGGCAGCTCATTCCGTACATGCACCATCCTCTGCGTGAAAAAGTTGCACCTAGGTCCCTTTTAAATCTTTTCCCTTTCACCTTAAAGCTATGTCCTCTAGTTCTGGACTCCCCTATCCTTGGAAAAAGACCTTGACTATTCACCCTGTCTATGTCCCTCATGATTTTATAAACCTCTATAAGGTCACCCCTCGGCCTCCAAGTCTCCAGGAAAAATAGCCCCAGTCTATTCAGCCTCTCCCTATAGCTCAAACCCTCCAACATGTTAAGATTGCAGAAAAGACAGACATGTAGCTGACTTTCAGTTGCCCATTCCATATTGGTTTTTCCATAGTAGTGCCTTCGCCAATCAGAGTTGAATTGCTAACTGATGAGCCCCTTTTTCCCCCTGAGTAAAATCTGTTGGCATTAGATTGGAGTAAATTCTTGTTTTAAGAGGTTGGAAGTCATTTGGAACCATGAACTAAAGACTTAATTTTCCAAGAAGGCATGTGATTTAAATGCCCAGTGGGGAGCTGTTGTACTAATTAATAAAGTATATACAAAGTTTAACTTTGGTGACAAACCGAGAAAAGGATTGGGGCCATTAGTAAGTTTGAGTTCAGTTCAAAAGAATCAGTGCAGAAGAACAGTTTCATCCTATGAAAAGGACAATTTTTAATTGTGTAGAAATCTCAAGAGTGGAAGTGTTTACTTTGTAGAACCTCTAGGTTGTCAACTGAAAAAGAAATCCAGGCCCTCAGAACAGGAAAATATTACTAGGCCGTTAAAACTAGAAAGAGTCACTCAAGCAAGAAATTAAATTTAAAATAGGAACTTCACTTTGCTGAGATTGAGTACCTGAAACAGATAATGTAGAGAATAAGAATGAATCATTTTCCTGATTACCTTAATGTATTTTTAAATCTCTTACAGGATAATTCTGTAATAAAGTTATGTTCTTTATTTTAAGAACCTTGACAACCTCATGTGAATATGTTCAATGATTAACCATCATGGTAAGCAAACAGCAAAAATAAAACTTATCTCTTTAAGCCAGGTTTCACTCTGAGATTTATTTGTCCAGCATTAAAATCAGCTGCGATCATAACAAAATGTGGGCTCTCAAAGAGATAGGAATTGATTAAATTTAGGAGAGATCTGTGATTCTTTAAAGGAAGAAGAATGTGGAGATAGTGGATATAAAACAGCCATGTTGATATCAAGTGTATTACACTGATTAGACTGGCAAAATCATTTTGAATGTTACTAAGACTCTACTGGCAGTAGAAAACATAACAGTGGATTATTTGTTTTGACTAGGGCTAAACTGAGAAAGCAGGTAAATTGAAGGTCGAAATAAAATCAAGATTTTATAAGGATGGGATGATTAAAGTGATTACTGAAAATTTAGATTTAAAAGGTGGAAGACTTGAACCAAATGTGTCACAGTTGAAATTAGCTAAAATTCAGTCAGAAACGAGAAAAACAACTTCACATGAGAATGGTAAATGTGGAAACTTGAAATAGATGAAAATAGAGAAAAGAAAATAAGAAGAGAAGAAAGACAAAGAGGAATAGAAAGAGAGCAGAAAGGGAAAGAAAAAACTGAAAATGATAAAGTTTGAATTGGAGGTTGAGAAGAAAGAAAAATAAAAAGAAATGAACTTCAGAAAGCTTGATCTTCAAAAAGAAAGAATTCAGACAATATGACTTGGCGAATAAAACGTTTAGAGTAAAGGAAGAAAGAAGAGGTAGTATCTCAGAAGATGATTATGATTCCAAAATGGGATTTGATTTAACCAGAAATATTCATATAATGCCAACGTTTACAGAGGATGGAGAAGAGGGACATTTCACCTTGTTTGAAAAGTTTTTTGGGAAGATGAAGGGCCAAAAAGAAGTTTGGACCTCATTATTACAGAGTGTTTTGACCAGTAAAGCTATTAGTAGAACAATCTGCAGACCATAAAACTTGCAATAAAAATATTCAATGTTCATCAGCTTGTCCTTGAAGCTTATTAATTAAAATCCAGGATTATTAAAGAAATCCCTTTGCACATTTCTAAAATTTGCATGAGGGAAGAAATGTTATGGAAAAAATACAGCAAAAATTGGTAGCAGAAAAGTTTATCCAATTTTTCACAAAATATAAATTACCCAAAAAAGTACAATCATATGAACATTCAAATTTTATGTCACAAATATTCAAAGAAATAATGAATAGTTTGAGAATACAGCAGCTTACGTCTTCAGCTTATTATCCACAATCTTCACAAACATTGAAAGGAAGGCATAAAATTTTAAAGACCACGATGACAGTTTATTGCCAGGAATGTCCTAATGATTGGGTTAAAGGAATTCTCTTGTTAGGAGCCTGCCATTAGCGATGCCTCTAATGAGTCCACAAGACTCAGGCCTTTTGAACTGATAATATGAGACATAA